TCTCTCTCTCTCTCTCTCTCTCTCTCTCTCTCTCTCTCTCTCTCTCTCTCTCTCTCTCTCTCTGTGTCTGTCTTAAACAATTTTTTCCCCTCAATGGGCTCATCAGCGGGTTTGGAGCTGTCCAACCAGCCTAGACTGGCTGGCCAGTGAGCCCCAGGCATTGGACATAGTGCTCAGCCATTTTATGTGACTCTGGTGATTGAACTCAGGGCCTGATGCAACCAGGTGCTTTAAGCTATTTCCTTAGCGTGGAAAAAAGTTTACTCAGTAGTTAACTTGCTTCGAAGATATTTAATATGAGATAAATGGCTACTTCAGACTCGTGGACTTGAAATGTTATACTGTGGAAAGCATTATGTAACGTGATGGATATTTTATTGTCTAAGTAGACTATGAGAAAAAATGGGTTTTATAAACCTAAATTAACTATAATTTTACTTTTTTTTTTTTTTTAAAAAAAGAGACTATAGTGATACTGAAACGGAAGGAGAGATTTTCAATTCCTTAGTGCAATATTTTGGTGATAATTTGGGGCCAAAAGTTAAAGGGATGCCATTGGTTGAAGAAACTTCTTTACTCGAAGATTCATCAGTGACTTTACCTGTGGTAATAATTGGTAAGTTACTGTATTTCATTTCTTAAAGCTAGTTACTACTTTTACGGCTTTTATCATTTTAAGGTGTGTATGTTCTAACATTGTATTGAAGAAGCTCCCCACCTTAACACAGTAGAGGTTTGCATGTTCCTACCATAAACACTGGTGCACATCTGAAGGGATGTGTATGTTACTCTGATCTCCAGTGTAGACATGCATTAAAACGCTACCCTGTGCCTCACAAATATGTACAACCAATAAATACCTTAAAAGAACAAAAATATAAGGGGATGCTTCTGTGAAATGGAGACAGATAATTAAGGACAGAATTATAAAGTATTAAGCTGTTTGATTTGTTAAAATAACCATCACCAAGTCTTTGGAGAAGCATTGACTTCTATGATAGAGGCCATGCTGGAATGCAGTAGCAGTGACATTGTGCTCTGCTGCGACATTTATGATTACCTAAAATATTATTTCACTCCTGTCCTTTGTATCACCTCAACAGATAGGATCTACAACTCTTACAATTAAGGTGTTCAATAATTCAGACTTTTGAAACTTTTGATAATTACCTGCTATTTATATTTTCATCTAGTGTTCAAACTTGAAGTCACACAAGACTTGCCTCAAGATGATAGCATTATGGTGGCTATTCTGAACCGTTACCTTTCTAAAATGTTTTAGAATACATATTTAAGTAAGCTTACCGTTAATGAGTTTTTTATTGGAATTGCATTAAGTCTACAGATCAAGTTAACAACATACAGTAATTTTGAGGCTTCCTATCTATGAACATAGAATAACGTATCATCTATTTAGGCCTTTTTAAAATTATTATTTCTTTATTCAAAATTTTGTGGCATTCTTTATGTAGCTCTTATACATATTTTGTTAAAATTATGCTAAATTTTTTTTTGATGTAGTTGTGAACGATAGTGTTTTTTATTTCAAATTCCGTTCTTCATTGGTGTAAGAGTGTTTGACTTTCGTATATTGACTTGTGTTCTTCAGTTGTGGCTGTAACTTGTCGTTCTGGGATCTTGAGAGGTCAATTCCTGGGATTTTCTATATAGATAATCATGTTATTGGCAAACAGTATTTTCAGTATTTTGTTTTTACCTCTTTTTCTCCAATCTGTGCATCTTTTATTTCATTCCTTCACACCATCCATTATGGTGATGAGTTTCTGGTTTTTTTAGTTTTGTTTTAACATGACCGATGTCATGTTGAAGTTTGCCTCTTTCAAATTTACTATATTTTTTCAACTCCCAAATGCAATGCTGTGTTTGGTCAAATGGCTTTTCTTGTATTTGAGGATATTGCCTGATGAATTTTCCTGATTTTTTTTAAATATCTCCCCCCTCTCTCTTTTTAAATGTGTGTGTGCATCCCTGCATGTATGCCCACAGTACTACTTGAAAGAATTGATTTTCCTTCCACTGTGTGAGTTCCAGAGATTTAATTCAGATTACTAAGGGTGGCAAGAGCCTTACCCTGCTGAGCAGTCTCTCCTGCCCTTAGTCCAATTCTACATCAGTTGTAATAAAGAAGTAGCCTATAAAATGTGTATTTCTCAAGAACAGGTCATCCAAGAGAAGTAATTTTGGAAGTCAGTAACACAGAGTTGAAGCCTTAAGTGACGAGATACTGAAAGACAGAAGACAGAGGTCAGAAGTGTGTGAGTCCCAGGTTTTAGTTGATTGAAGAAGGAGGAACAGGTGAGGGGAAACGCCAAGCAAGAAGAGGATCAACTTACGTCATTTTACTTTTTTTAAAACAGGAAATGGACCTTCAGGAATATGCCTGTCATATATGTTGTCAGGGTACAGACCGTATTTATCACCGGAAGCCATGCATCCAAACTCAATCTTACACAGTAAGCTAGAGGAAGCAAGGCATCTCTCCATTGTTGACCAGGTATCGTGTGCTGCGTCAGTTCTAGAAGATTTTAATGCCTAAAGAAGTATATTTCTTTGTTGTAAATCCTTCATTCTAAATAATGCTGTTTATTTTAGCTTTATAAATATATTCTGATGTCATATCTAAATTATATTGAATATTTGAGCAAAAATTCCCAAATTATTTCCTAGTGGAGTTTTTAAAAATTTTATGTGACCTGTGGCTGCAGGTTTATGTGAGAGAGTGAGCGCGTGCCCTCATGTAGGCCACAAGTTAACTTTGTGTTAATTCTCCAACTGTCCGCCATGTTTTTTGAAGTGAGGTCTCTCGTAGGCCTTAATCTCAACCTAGTAGGCTAGGCAGCCTAGCCAGTGAGTGAGAGAAGTCTTCCATGGCCCCCTCCACTGTGCTGTGATTAGAAGCATGGCCCACCATGCCTGGCTTTCAAATATGGGTTCTAGTGAAAGGACTCAGGCTCAAAAAAGCGCTTTGTAGCCTGCCGGTGAGGGTCTGACATGTTCTCTGTGCTGAAATCAGCCTGGGAAGCGCTGCCTTTCCCATCCTACCGACATCCCTGTGCCACGGTGGCCTCAGCTCTTAAATGGCTTTTCTTAAAGTCTCGTTTTAAATCTAAACGTTGCCTACATTTATTTTGCCAAGCAAAATATTATGAATGCGCTCACTCTCTGGAAACTGTTGAGTTGGAAGTCCTGGCTTTCTCAGGCTCCCCTTTCTCTCTTTCCCCTTCCATTCAGGACTTAGAGTACCTATCCGAGGGTCTGGAGGGCCGGTCCTCCAATCCCGTGGCAGTGCTGTTTGACACGCTTCTTCACCCAGATGCGGACTTTGGGTATGACTACCCGTCTGTGCTACACTGGAAGCTGGAGCAGCACCATTATATCCCCCACTTAGTTCTGGGGAAGGGCCCGCCTGGGGGGGCGTGGCACGTGAGTATGACGTTCTCCCGTTAGAGCAGGGTGAAGTGTTTGTTATGTTTGCCTTAATAAAGCCAACTTGGTTTTTGTTTGTTTTGTTTTTTTCCAAGACTGGGTTTCTGTGAATATCCCTGACTGTCCTAGAACTCACTTTTAGATTAGGCTAGTCTCAAATTTAGAGATCTACCTGCCTCTGCCTCCCAGTTGCTGGAATTAAAGGCGTGTACCATCATGTCAGGCTTCCAACTTGAGTCTTTAGCATACACTAATTATAGGTAGTTAAGCCAGATTTTTCTTAATGATATAGTCTTAGAGCGGATCTATACTACCTTGTATAAATTGTATAGAAAAAAATTAGCCAGGTGGCAGTGGTGGTGGCGCTTGTCTTTAATCCCTACACTTGGGAGGCTGAGGCAGCTGATCTCTGTGAGTTTTGAGGACAGCTGCTGGTCTTTAGAACTAATTACAGGACAGCTAGGGCTGTTATTCAGAGAAACCCTGTCTTGAATAACCACCCTCCCACACCAAAACATAAGAGGACACTTTTCATAATAAAGTAAATTTCTTTAGAGCTTAGAAAAATTTCGCAGGGTATTTTGAAAACCAGTGTCTATTACTTCCATGAATTTTCTTTCTTTTTTTTTTCTTAAAAAGATAGGTTTATTTTATGGGTGTGAGTGTTTTGTCTGCATGTATGTCCGTGTACAACCATGAAGGTGGCAGGCGCCCACAGAAGTTAAAAGAGGATGTCTGAGCCCCTGGAACTGGAGTTACAGATGGTTGGGAGCTGCCTGTGGGTGCTGGGAATCACACCCTGGTCCTCTGGAAGAACAACCTGTGTTTTTAACCACTGAGCTGTGTCCCCAGCAACTATTTCCATGTATTTTCAAGATTTAAATGAAAAAATACTGTAAATGAAAGGTTTAATTAGAACAAAAGACATTTCTCACAGTTCCAGAACCTATAAAGCCTGGCTTTAAGCCCATTTCGTGATTTAGTGTTCTGTTGCTGTGAAAAGACAAATGACCAAGGCAGCTCTTACAGAGGGAGCTTGCTTAGTTTCAGAACGTTGGTACATTGTGATCACGGGGAGCGTGGCAGCATCGTGGTGGCACAGTGCTGGAGAAACAGCTGAGAGCTTCGTCAGTATCCACAGGTAGCAGGCAGAGAGAGTGACGCCTCCTCCAACAGGGCCACACCTGATCCTTCCAAATGATGACGCCGGCTGGCCAGTAAGCAGGCACGTGTGTGAGCCTGGAGAGGCCGTTCTCATTCAACCACAGGGTCACCATTTGTCCTCTGCTGCTGCTCTTGCTCTTGAAATCTTGCGTTTGCTGAAGATGTGTTGAAATCCCCAGTAGTTAGTCATGTGTGAAAACCTGCCCGCAGAGCCGCCAGGCAGGGAAACTTGGTATCCGCAGATAAATAGATATGTCAGTCAGGCTAGGCTGGCCCTAAACTCTCAGGGACGCAAAGACGGCTTTGAACGTCTGCTTTTCCTACCTTAACTCCCAGGTGTTGGAATTCCAGGTGTGTTGATGAGGTGCCGGGGACAGCAGAGCTGTGTGTATGCTAAGCAAATACTCTGTCAGCGGGGCTGAAGCCTCAATCTGCATGTAGATTTGTGTTGACGTCTGTGTCAAGTGCACTAGTAATCACCGTAGTTCACAGTCAGGAGGGACTACCATGGTTACAGAGGCACAGCATTACCCAGATACACACGCACTAAGTAGAGGATACCACAGGCATCAGCTCATCTCAGAGGCTGTGCAGGGACTGACCTTTTTTAGAAATGTAAAACCGTGACTCAGCCTGGCCGAGTTCAACACTTCTCACTTTGATTCCTTGGAGAACATTGATGGTCTTTTTCGTCATTAGGCTGTCATCTCCTTTTCTCCCCGTACACTCCCCAGACTGCATTTGCATCTTTGAAGAACTGTTGCACGTACACTTGGACAGTGCTCCTGTCTCCTCTGCCCATCAGAACACGGTCGTCCCAGTGGACAGTGCTTCTGTCCCCTCTGCCCATCAGAACACTGTCACCCCAGTGGACAGTGCTCTGTCACCTCTGCCCATCAGGACACGGTCGTCCCAGTGGACAGTGCTCTGTCACCTCTGCCCATCAGGACACGGTCGTCCCAGTGGACAGTGCTTCTGTCTCCTCTGCCCATCAGAACACTGTCGTCCCAGTGGACAGTGCTTGTCACCTCTGCCCATCAGGGCACTGTTGTCCCAGTGGCAGCTGGCATCGATGGTGTACACATTACATAGATTCAAGGCCCGACGGGTGTATATGAGACCATGTGTTAAGAAATTGAGGCTGGAGAAATAGCTCAGTGGCTAAGAGGTCCTATCACCCACTTGGTGGCTCACTACCATCTGTAGTGGGATCTGGTGCCCCCTTCTGGTGTGTGTGTGGACAGGTCACTCATCACATAAATACAAACCATTATATGTATTTTGTCTTTCTAAAAATTGCATAAATAAACCAGATACGTGAGACCCTGTGTCAAAAAATTATACATGTGACTGAATATAATGTATTATAATGTGCCCATTCTCCGTGCTGGGCTGTGTAGAAATGGGAAGTTGTGAGAACAGAGCCTCTGTCCACAAGAGCTGAAGGGACCTAATGGTGATTGGGAAGGTGTCTTGGCCCTTGGCTTTTTTGCTTTGTTTTGAGCAAAGCAGAAGTAGGTGGAGGAAGCTTGAGAGGTTTACTTCTTGATGATAACTAACCCAGTGCTGAGTTGAGTCTGTTTCTTAGGCAACCGCTGATTATTTTTCTATTTTTAGAGTGATTATATTATATCCAGCTTAGTTCAGATTTCAAAATTATAATTGATAGAGAAAAGCAGTCTAATTAAAAAGAAAAAAAATCCATAAAAAATACCAAAATGAAAAAATAAAATTTTGGAAATTAGTGAACTTTCTTTTTTAAGAAATAAAAATGCTGATTTGTTCTTTAACACGTATATCTTAATTATTCTGATCATAGACCAAAGCTAGTGCTGTTATTTGTTTCATAAATATATACTACAAGTAATATCAAATGGTGAAAATATATGAAGGTCTTATTAGAGTGAAAGTTTAGAGGAAATATAAATGAGAAAACATAAGGTGCTTTTATTTCTGAAAACAGTTAATTGCGTTAATAGGATTAACTCCAGGTGCACCGCTTTTCTGTCGTTGACTGTTATTGTTCATGTCTGGAAGCAGAATCCATGAATCCATAGTGCTTGTACACCACTCTTGGGAGCACACTTTATATGGCCTGAGTTTGTACCTTGTATTTGTTTTCAAAAGGTAATACTGCTTTTCTTTATCTGTACTTTCAAACTAGAATATGGAAGGCTCTATGTTGACAATAAGCTTTGGAAATTGGATGGAGTTACCTGGACTTAAATTTAAAGATTGGATGTCAAGCAAACGAAGGTAAAGATCGAGCTATACTAGAGTTCCTTGATGTGTGAAGAAAAGGGGACGCGGTATCTGCATGCTGTGTTAGACAATCCACCTAATTCGGTATCTCTATTGCATCTATTTTCCTGTTGTGTGACTTTACCCTTTATGTCGGGGGCGGGGGTAATCCGTTGGTTTTATGTGCTGTTTCCTTTACCTGGTTTCTGTGCTGGACTCTTGTGACTAGTGATGCAATCAGTGCTGATGTGCAGATACCTCTGTGCTCTGTTGACGTGAAGCCCTTTGGGTAAATACATACCCGGAGGTGGTGTAACTGTCATGAACGGTCTGGTATCGTGTTTGGAGACCCTCCATACAGATTGTCCTAGACCAGTGACTAGACTAGTTGTGTTCTTACTAGCATTTGTTATGTGTTTTGTTAATGACTGTAGTGTGTCATTTTATTCTTTTGACTTTTTGGGGGTCCGCCACCCAGCTCCTAGATAAATCACACATGGAGGCTTATTCTTACTTAACTAGCTGGCTCGGCTCTACTTGTTTCTGGCCAGCTTTTCTTAACTTAAATGATGCTGGCTACCTCTTCCCTCCGGGCTGTTGACTTTCTCTGTGGTGTGTGTGGAGCTGGGTGGCACCCTGATGCTCTCCTTTCAGATTTCTCCTTCTGTTTATTCTCTGCCTGCCAGCCCCGCCTCTCCTTTCTCCTGCCTTCCCATTGGCCATTCAGCTCTTTATCAGGACCATCAGGTGTTTTAGACAGGCAAAGAACCACAGCTTCACAGAGTTAAACAAATGCAGCATAAACAAAAGTCACACACCTGAAAATAACATTCCCGAACAAATGGCTGCCATTCCGACTAGGGTAAGAAAATGAGATCAATGCTTTATAAAGCACGAGGGTAACTGTCAACTAGCGCAGTGCTGGAAGAACTAAGATACGGAAGCTTCCTAGCTCGAACAGTAACCTGAAGCAGAAAGTGCTCTCCTCATGGGTTCTTTTTCCTTTTCATCTGCAGGAACTTAAAGGGGGACCGTGTTATGCCAGAGGAAATAGCTCGCTACTATAAACAATATGTGAATGTCATGGGTCTTCAGAAGAATTTCAGAGAGAATACTTATATAACCTCTGTATCGAAACTCTACAGAGACCAAGGTGATAATGGTGGTCAAGACAGAGATATTTCAACAAAGCGTTTACAAAACCAGAAGTCAAAATTTATCAAGAGAAACTGGGAAATCAGAGGCTATCAGCGAATAGCAGGTGGTTCTCATGTTCCCTTTTGCCTCTTCGCTGAGAATGTAGCTCTTGCAACAGGAACCTTGGATTCTCCTGCCCACCTGGAAGTGGAGGGGGAAGAGCTTCCTTTTGTGTTCCACTCACTGCCCGAGTTCGGTGCTGCTGTCAACAGAGGGGAGCTGTGTGGCAGAGTGGACCCAGTGCTGATCGTGGGCTCCGGCCTCACCGCGGCTGACGCGGTGCTGTGTGCCTACAACAACAACATCCCTGTGATCCATGTCTTCCGCAGACGAGTAACTGACCCAGGCTTAATTTTCAAACAGCTTCCCCAGAAGCTGTATCCTGAGTACCACAAAGTGTACGACATGATGTGCACTCAGGCACACTCCGCAGACTCGGACGCTGTGTCTGAGTACACCAGCTTTCCTGAGCACCGTGTGCTCTCCTTCAAGTCAGACATGAAGTGCGTTCTTGAGAGCCACTCGGGACTGAAGAGAATATTTAAGCTGTCCGCAGCTGTGGTCTTGATCGGTTCCCATCCTAACCTGTCCTTTCTGAAGGAACAAGGGTGTTACCTAGGCCGCCACTCCAGCCGGCCAATAACCTGCAAGGGGAACCCTGTGGAGGTCGATGCGTACACCTATGAGTGTGTGAAAGAGGCCAACCTTTTCGCTCTGGGCCCTTTGGTTGGAGACAATTTTGTTCGATTTTTAAAGGGAGGGGCACTGGCTGTTACACGCTGTTTGGCTACGAGACAGAAGAAAAAGCAGCATTTGTTTGTTGAAAGAGGAGGAGGAGACGGGATAGCTTAAAGAACATTCACGAGTACTTTACAGGGACACTTAACCATTAAAGGTTTTTAACAGTGGTTTGCAGTGTATTGGCTTGAATTAACTGGGAGAGCCTGCAGCTGCTAGTCTCTAAAGTTAACAAAGCTTGGTGTCCCAAGTTGTACTAAAGTGTATCAAGGTGTCACTTTCAGGCAGATCCAAGCACTGCCAGCTCGGTGTACTGCACGCTTTCATTGAACTAGGATGCTCCTTTCTAACTTGGCATTTATAAAGCCAGTCATTAAGACAGAAATCATATTTAGTTCATATTGGGTCACCTTACTCCTCAAGGGATGGTCCAAGGGCCAGCAGCATCAGCTTCCTCTGTATCTCATTAGGAATTTAGGCTGACTGCATTCTACAGGATCCCCAAGGGTTATCTGTATAGTCACTAGATGAAGTGTGAAGTACAATGGCCTACGTGAAACTATAGAGTGTGTGTGCTGGGGCAGGATACAAGGAAGCATTTCCAACTCAGGTTTTATTTATTTTGAAATTAGCAGCTATATAAACCTAATTTATTACCAAATATGATGGTCTTTAAAAATATTTTTACTGTTAAAACCTAGGTAGGTATTTGATATCCTTACTTTCTCATAATGTAACACGTCAATAATGCTGACATCCAGGAATCCACCAGGATCCTTTTTACAGACTTATTCTGTTTAGTCACCGTAACATCTAATGAATCTGATTCTCAATTCAATAAATTGTGGACGGAACTACTGACCCTTGTGTGCACACTGAGTTAATTTCTATTAATGGAATGAAGGTTCGGGGCATGCTAAGTGCTGGAACTAGAATACTGTGGGTTTGCTAGAATTATTAGAGAGGTTGATGTGGGAAATAAGATTGTGTCTTTTTCCGTTCTCAGAAATCTGTAACAATGTTCACTTCGAGGGAATGACACACCCTGGTTATTGATTTATCTCCTCTAATAGTCTCAATTGCATTTTCATACAGACAGTGAAATGTGTTAGTGCTAACAACAGATCTTCCAGAGTTCTTGGGGAACTGAAGTTTTCAAAGTCGCCCCCCCCCACTTTGGGGGATATAATTCTATCTAGGATGCCCACTGAATTTGTTTTCAGCTTCTTAAAATAGATTTTCAACACCAAGTCTGAGCCTCCGCATACCTGTGAACACCTGCACACGCACTTCAACAGGAGTCCTGGGCTTCAAGGCTGACATACGGTTACAGTGATTCAAGGAAAGGAGTCTGAAGGAAGGATGGGTAAACATAATAAATCATAACTGAGGTTTTATAAAGTTGCCAAGGTAGTTTAATGCGAAAAGATACTTCCTCCAATAAACTGAGTTTGATATTCCTATGGGGGAAGACCACCTGACTCATACTTTATAAAGTTGGGGGTTTTAAGTAGTATTATGGAAATATTAAAATGTAATCTTATGGTCTACCATTAAGTCTTGGAATCAACGAGTACTCTGTGTGTGTGTGTGATAGGAAAAAAAAAAAAAAATCAAAGAAAATAGGCAAAAGTGACTTTACCAAACTTTAAAGTTTGGATTGGGGACGTAGCTCAGAAGGTAAGAGTGCCTGCCCATCAAGCAAGTGCTCTCCATCACTGGGACACCTCTGCAGCCTGTAAAAGGAACCCCTGAATCTGGGACTAGAAACCTCTAGTGCCTATTCCTTCACTGTGCAGAGAAGGAGCAGCAGTTTAGACATAGGCTTCCTATTTCATAAGCAAAGAATTTGAAAGTAACATACAGGATGAGAATAAAGTCATGATATTTATAACTTGTCTCTATAAAATGTAGTTATGTTCTGAAATCTGGTAACAGGTAGAATGTCCCAAGCATTATATGTAAGGGACACAACACACACACACACACGTTCCAGAAAGACCTAGCAAATAAATGTGTGTGGTGGTTTAAAAGGGAATGATCGCCCAAAAGGTGTGGCATTTTTAGGTGTGACCTATTGGAGGAGGTGTAGTCTTGTTGGAAAGTGTGTCACTGTGGAGGTGGGCTTTGAGGTCTCATATATGCTCAAGATACTGCCCAGTGTCTCAGTCCACTTCCTGTTGCTTGCAAGATGTAGCACACTGAGCTAAATCTCTAACACCATGTCTGCTTGCATGCCATGTCCCACCATGATGATAATGGACTAACCCTGAGAAAATGCAAACTACCCCAATTAAATGTTTTCTTTTGTAAGAATTGCTACGGTCCAGAAACAGCTGACCTGAGCTAGTGGGAGCTCACTGACTCCAGACTGACAGCAAGGAACCTGCATAGGCCCAAACTAGGCCCTCTCAATGTGGTGGACAGTTGTGTGGCCGGGGCAGTCAATGGGGTAACAGGCAGTAAGGTCAGGATTTTCCCCTAGTGCTTGAACTGGCTTTTTGGAGCCTACTTTTTATGGAAAGATACCTTGTCCAGCCTAGATATGGGGGGGGGGGGCTTCATTCGGTCTCAAGTGATGTGCCAGACTTTGTTGACTCCCCTTGGGAAGCATTATCCTCTCTGAGGAATAGGTGGGGAATGGGGTGGGTAGAAGGGGGGGGGGGGAGGAGGGGAGGGAGAGGGAACTAGGTATGTAAAACAAGAAAAGACTTTTTTTCCCTCTTTTTTAAATAAGAGAATCGCTGTGGTCATGGTATTCCTTTAGAGCAACAGAAACCCTAAAACACACACATACACACCTTAATTGCTTCTATGTTATATTCTAACTAAAAAAGGCAAGATTGCTAGAGAGGCAGAATTTCCATGGACCAGAAACCTTTCAGTTTGTAATAAAAGATTTGTTATACTTTGTAGAATACAATGTACAATATACAGAGTTAAGATCCACTTCTCTATATTAAAATATTTGAAAAACAATTCATTTCCTGTTATTTTATGTTTTAGGTAAAAGACAACCTTACTGCCTCTACTTTACAGACTTGAATCTTAGAAGAAAAGGCAGTCACTGTGCTCAGGAATCCCACCAAAACCAGGTCCATCCCTCTCTGGTGTGACCTAACCACATAATGAAGTTTGTACACTACCTCAGTCTCTTGTACTAAGTGATATGGGACATGTTCTCACCACTGAAGTACTTCACTTAGGTCACATCAGTTTAGTAAAGCTTACAAGATAACAGAAAAGGTTCCACTGACATGTCTACCATCTTCTAATGTAACATGAAAGCGAACACGGCAGAGTAATTACACGTGTAATTTCTGAAATGTTATGCAAGGAATTTGAATAATGCTTCAAAGGAAGTAAGTACCATATATAGATATAGATACAGATATGTCCCCACCCAGGGGAACCAAGTACCTAGTAAAAGGGAACTGTTTATCCTTAATGCAGTTTCAGAACCTTGGAAATTATGACTGTTGTAATAACTTATTAAGTAAGAAATACATTTAAAATGTAATACATATGTATGTATATTATCTATCTGTCTGTCTATCTATCTATCTATCTATCTATCTATCTATCTATCTATCTATCTATCTATCTATAATGAAAGACAAGATCACAAAGCCCCCAGAGACAATATTACCACACAAAAGGAATGGAATTTGTTCGGTTTATTTAGTAAGTTGAAACCTTAAAATATCAGTAATTTATATGTATTACATTCATGTATCCCAGCTGGCCTGAAATAAATGTTTGCTAAGAAATGTGTTTCTACAGCTTCCTTTACAAAGTTCAATTATCTTCTTTTTACATTAGGATTATATCTGCAAAGAAAAAAAAATGGGTTAAAGGTCATTTCACTAAGGAATTCCATTAAAGGTTTCATTTTAACAATTACATGAGATCACCAATGTTGTCCTTGAAGTTGGATGATAAACAGTTTTCTTTCTGTTTATCCGCTGGTGTTCTTAAATGAATACGTGGCAAAACATCATCATTAACAAAAATCTTATGATGTATTAAAATTGGAACAATCGCATACATATAAGGAGTAAATGTGTAAACAACAACAACAGAAAACCCCAAGAGATTAAAACATCCTCTTCTTAAGTTGGGAAAATGTTACTGTGTCTACCTGAAATGGGACTTCATTTGTATTGGAGAGGTTTAGAATGTTGATTGGGTTTCCAGAAATGTTCAAAATATATAAATTAAAATCACTCCTAACAATTCCTCTACAATCTGCCACCAAGCAAACAAAAATCAAATAAACCCAGTTTTGGATCTCATCCACCCTTTCATTTTTATCTATTTGTCAAATAAGTCGACAAATGTTCTGGATCCTTATTTGTCTGATTTCAAAATCTGTTCATTTAATTCTATTGTAACAAAACCTCACATATGCTTTAGGCACCTTCCTTTGCCTGGACGATACCATGCACAAATAAAAAACGACAGCAGGAAATTCAATGAATGTATGTTCAAATAATAAAACTGCACGAGTGCAGAACCAAAGTTCTTCATACGAGGAGACTGGGCGTCTCTTCAAGAACCGACAAAACAAGTATCTGACCGGCACGGATGTAACTGCATATGTACATTTCTCAAGAGCACGAAGAGAAAGTCAAAGTTTACCTAAACAGATCGTCCGCCAGAGCCTCTTCTTTCGCTTGTTGCCTCTGCACCTGTCAGAGTTAACATGACGTGAATCATCTGCTCCAGGTTTCCATAGCCAAGGTGTCCCTGGGCAGTTTTCCTTCTGTGGTCTCTCTGCTCCCCCGACCCCTCTATTTCAGCTTCATACTAAGATGACCACAGAACTGCGGCAATGACAGAAGTGTTCGTGTAATGTCTAAGACAACCAATACAACATCACTAGCTTACTGAGTCTGTAAAAAGTCCTTTAGGCAGAAAGTTCAGCTCTGGGGTCAAGAATGATGACGGCACATGGGCTTCATTAAAACTGGGGATTTAGGACAGCATGATGGCCGGGGAGTGAGGGTGTATGCCGACAAGCCACATGGCCTGAGTTCAACACCCAGGATCCATACTACATAGAGAGAAGAGGCTCCAAAAACCTGTTTCCTGGCCTCCACGAGCATGAAATAGGATGGAAGCACATGCACGTGTACATACATGTGTACACACACACCACAAATAAGATATGACTTGAAGATTTAAAGAGAGGCCCAGTCAGTCACATGTGTTTAAATCTGTTCTAACTTGCTGAGTCACAGCCATTGTCTACCCGAGAGTACAATAAACATGTCATCTTCAAACAGCAGTATTGGCAAAAGGGCTCCTCTCCTCTTGCTCCTCATTCAGGATTTTTCCCCCCACAATCATTTTCAACAGACTTCACCAAACTCCTAAAGCACCTTATAGAGTTAGAATCAGGGAAAAGCTCCCAATGAAAGCTCCTTTCTCAAGTCCTGTGTGATCCAGGCACATGGCATTCAATACGCCTCCATGGTGTCTATCTACCAAAGACAAAACAACTCTTGAGTCTGACCCTTAAAATATGCAAACCTTAAATCTGGCTTCTCCCAATCACTTCATGCCTCTTCACAAACACAGGGTTTCTTTGTGCAATAGCTCTGACTTTCCTGAAACTCGCTCTGTAGACCAGGCTAGCCTCAAACTCACAGAGATCTACCTGCCTCTGCCTCCCAAGTGCTGGGATTAAAGGTGTGCACTACCATGCCCAGCTAAAGATTATGTTTCATCTAAAACATTCAAAATTCACAGAAACTTTAAGAACTGGCCTACTATAAAATTATGATGGGTTCGCTGAATGTTGAAAAAAGAACAAAAAAAAAATACTGAAGACAGAAGGAAAGTAGTGGGGGTAAACCCAGGGCAAGATGCCAACACGTGGCAAATTTAGGTATGTAGTTTACAGAGTGCTCACACCGCTGTGGCCATGGTGTGAACCTAGCACACATAAAGCCCCTCTCTTCATCTACTGAAGTACAGAAGATGGAGATAGCTGGCAGGGCACCATCATTTCAAACTCTCCCCAGCGAGAATGAAGAATGTGCAAACAATGAAGGTGGTGCCTGGGGCGCGGCTCCCTTCGGCCCCTGCCTCTCACCCTCCTCAACAATGATCAACTTATGTTCCAACAGGTAATTTCCGGACTTTGGGTTTATTATTATTTTATGTACTGCCATTAAAAAGGTGTATTCATAAAACATTTTGCAGTGGGATGGCCTTCTGCAAGCTGTGAATGTGTTGCTCTCATTGGTTGATAAATAAAGCTGCTTTGGCCTATGGCAAAGCAGGATGGAGCCAGATGGAAAATCAAAGCAGAGAAACAGGAGAAGGGTGGAGTCTGGGAGACGCCATCCTGCTGCCCAAGGAACAACATGCCAGGAGACTGGTAATGCCACAGCCAGGAGGTGATACTTAGATTAGTAGAAATGGGTTAATTTAAATGTAAGAGTTAGCTAGTAATAAGCCTGGGCCATCAGCCAAACATCTATAATTAATACTAAGCCTCTAAATGGCTATTTTTAAAGCGGCTGCAGACCGGGTGGGACAAAAAGCCTCCATTTACAACATCTGTATACGTAAGAACAAATAATTTTTAAAAAAGATCAGCAAGCACTTCAAGAATTGGAATCATTGGCATAAACATCTGCAGAAAATAGAAAGACTTGGAAAAACAAAACAGACATCAGCAATGAAGAGATCCAAGTCCAAATTAAAACACCATGGCTGGATGTCAACAATTAGTGTTGAAGACAGAAACAAAGAAAATTTGATAAAACGTTACTGGGCATTCCAGAGTCAAGTCCAGGGAAAAAGGACGACAACGGCGTCAGAGAAGGGTCGGAACTGCTAGAAGGCGGCCAACCCCTGCGACCACCGCCGTCCTTCTCAGGGCGTGCTCTCTCACCTGCATTTCTGTGGCTTCAGGATTCCTTTCTCTTTACATGGGGATTTAGCTTACTCTATTTTGGTCCCACTCGCTTTATTCTAGTCTGTAATTCTCTTAAAATAAGTCTGGAAAAGTACAGGCCAATCTTAACGTTCTGTGATGGAATAATTTCCTAAGTGAATGAGCTCAAGTAACTCAAGTTTGCTGCGCTAGGGAGATGGCGCTGTGGATAAAGGAAGACCGTGCATGTAAGTCCACCTGAGCTCAGCGCCCTAGAACCCGTACAAAAGCGAGGCGCTCACAAGCTACCTCTACAGGAGGGGGCAGAGACAGGCAAGTGAGAGCTCACCAGCCAGCATGGTCAGTGAGACCCTATTTCCCAGATGAATAAACAGAAACAGACTTCTGAAAGCAGCCTCTGGGCTCCACACGTGCAGGCACACCCACGCACACTCTGACATACGCATACACCAGCCACACTTAAAACGGTCGGCAGACTGCCCCTCCTGACCTCCATCTCGTGTCTCAGCCACTCCTCTAACTCCTTATTCTTGCGAGTGTGGTGAGCGATCAGATCTGATCCTCCGATGATGTGTGGAAGTCTCCCTGCTCCAGGAAACAGGACCTGGAAGACAGGAAGTAGTGAGGCTAGGCATATTTAAATGCCGACGTAACTATTATTTAAAAGCCATAACATGCAAACAGCGTAATTCACGCACAAATATCAAGAGTGTGTATATTCTAATAGTACAAACGTGACACAGAACTGTACCAGACCTGTTTTCAGCCTTTTCTTTCCTAGCTATTCCTTTATCTCCTGTACTGTACTGTACATAGCTATTACTGTACATATTAGATATGCATCCAGGACTTACACACTAAGAAAAACTTAATATAAGTTTTAGTTTGTAGGTTTCATTTAAAAATCGATTGAGTTTGTTATCTAGCAATCAAAGTTAACTCCTGGAAAGCAAACTATAGTTTAAACCACTATTTCTTATTCTAAGATTTTCAAACTTAACCCATAATCCCAGCATTTGAGAGGCCACACAGGAAGATTGGAAGATTACAGAATTCAAAGCAATGCCGGGTACACAGTGAGTTCCAGGCCAGCTCATACTTCACGTAAGACTTGATCTCAAAAACCAAAAATACGGCTGGCCCCTGGGGCAAAGGGGCTTGCCACCAAGACTGAAAACGTGAGTGAAGTCTCATGACTCACAGTGGAATAAGACACACGCAACCCCAACACTTTGTCCTCTGGCATCTAGACACATGCATGTGTTGTGGCATGTGGGGACCTTTACACATGAAGCAGGTAAACAAAAACCAAACAAGCAACAGTGCTGGACCACAGCTCAGCTGGCCGAGTGTCTGCCTAGCACGGGTCAGGAGGCCCTGAATTAGACCCCAGCTGGACATGGTGCTGCACACCTACAATCCCAGTACTCAGGAGGTGGAAACGGGGATCAGAAGTTTCAGGGTAACGCGGGCATGCATGCGTGTGTCTGTGTATTTTTTTTTTAATGAAGTTACACTTCTCCCCAAGAGTCACAGGCACGAGAAACCTCTTTATGAGTTTTTGGTCAGAGGAGTCCAAGAAACTCCCAATATAATATAGGCATTGCCATTGCCCTTGGTTGCCTCCTAGAAGCTGAGGTTAAGTCCCCATTGCTGAAGATACCATGCACTTCGGACACAAGAGTTGAAGAATCAAGCTGGATTTGACCTGGAAGCCTCCTTTCATAGTACCTAGTAGGAGTGCCACTAAATGGACCTAGAAGGTTGTTTATAGAGATATAATTTGCATGTATGTATCAATAATAACGACAGAAAAGAGGTATGAATCTGGAAAGGAGTGGGAGATGTGGGAGGAGCTGGAGGGAGCAAAGGGAGGGAGACATGTAAACACAGTGCTCAGGTATCAGGCTGACATGCTCTACATGTATTATACCAACAACAAAACCGGCTATCATCTCACTACTGACCCTTCTCTTCACTGACTCCTGAGTTGCTAAACCCTTTCAGGTACTCAGAGACGAACATTAGAACTGGGAGGACCCCGACATCAGAGAGCCCAATTCTAGAGCTGGGGAAAACAGCAACTTCAGAACTAAGTAACCATTAAACACACTTTTTGAAAGCTCTAAATTTACTAATACTCTGTGCTATTTTTTTTTTTAAAGCATTTCTTCTTAACTATTTGAAACAGAAGAAACAGCATAGGTTTCCAAAATACTGCTTTTCGGGTTGGTGGGACGGCTCAGTGGAAGGCACCTGCCATCAAGCCAGACAGCAGAGTGCGTTCTGAAGGAAAGAACTCCCCCGTAAGCTGTCCTCTAACCTCCACTCACACACAATAAACGATTACTTTAAAATGCAAAACAAAACCCAGAAGTTAAATACTCCTTTTATTAAATTTAGTGCCAGTGCTGGTTTCTGACAATCCGAACACTGCCCTCCTGAAACACAGTTCATGAAGACACTTACCTTCTTGAATTTCTTAAAATTCTTCAGCTGACCACAATCATTTAGCATGGACAGACTTTGGGAAGTGGAGTTATTAACCACCAGCGACCTAAATTCCGTCAGCAGCACTTTTCTCGGAAGCAGCTCACTGCTGTCTGGGAGTTCATCACTGTTCTTAAGTGGGGAGTAAATGGTTAGAGAGGAGAAGGAAAGGGAAAGAACGTGACATTTAGATCTACAGCCAAGGTCCAAGTACCCAAGGAAAATAGAGTTGCTCCTGGCATCTGAAGTCTGTGTTTGGGATCAAAACCAGAAAATGACTCGGGAGGGCTACAGCAAGCAGAGCTACCAAGGCTACCATTCACAGTGTTCCTCCTTTAGATATTCTCTGGATATACCTCATCACTATCTGCTTCTTTTCCATGGACACCACACACCATGATTATGAAATATTCCATTCCTCCAGTCCCCACCTACTGTATTTATATTTTCATGACATCTAGAGACCAATTCTTAAAAAACATTTTAAAAAAATCCTTAGAAAAAGTGATAAGCTTAAAGACCGCACATCTGTGTGGTACAGAGAAGAGTTAGACCTAAGGTTCTCTACACCCCTGTCTCATGACCAAACACAATCTATTTCCAGAAAAGGGAAAATCACGAAGTGAACTGGAATTATACAAGGAAATATTAAATATGGATGCATTTGACAGAAATTTGCATGAGGATAATCCTTTTATGTTGAACGTTTCTAAGAAAAAAATAAGAATCTCCTTACGGCTATTTCGTCTTTTGTCGACCACAGTAATTCCTTCTTGACTTCAACTTTCTTTTCTGGTTCATCTTCTTGCTAAAAGTAAAAAAACACTGTTTATAGACAATCTTTTTAAAAACCTTAAAAACAATTATTCTGTGCCCTTGGAAGCACATAAATGATATACTTAGAGACTAGCCAACACAGTATGGACACAACAAAAAGCTATAAAATCATAGCCAGAAAACTGCAAGAAGAGTTCATCTATAGCACACACAAAAAAAGGTTTTGTCAAGAAGATACTATTTCTGAGATGGCAGAATATCAATAAACTATTGGTCCACCTTCCTCTATAAGCATTTACGAAGATAAACTCTCAAAATCGTGTAAGAAAATCAAATGAAAACTAATCTCATACTGAGTAAGGTTGGTGAGCAACACCATGATTCCTATGTGTAATGCTGTATTTTATCAAGCTGTCCAAGTACAGGAAAATCAGTTGAGGGCACATGCATGCTCTCTATACTATTTCTCTCATATAAAGAGAATCAGCAATTACCTTAGAATAAAAAGGTTTTATTTGTTTTGAGTCAGGGTCTTATTGTATAGCCCTGGCTGGCTAGGAACCTGGTCTCAACTCACAGATATCTGCCTACCTCTGTCTCCTGAGTGCTAGAAAAATAAAATGTTCCTTAATACTGTACAAACAAAAACTTCTCTGCAGAGATTCTTAAAAAACAAGTTAGTACCTGAATATAGCGATCTATTTGAGGCTGACTTGCTTACTCTCTTAACTCCCACACTGTGTTTTTCCATTGATAATGCCATTCTTAGGTCCGAAGGGAACCAATACCATCCTCCACCCTGACCGAGGCAGTGACATCTCAAGATGGAAATGTCGCTCAGGCTGGACTGTATCGCGGGCAGCACTCCTCAGGAGCCTGAGAAGCGGATTTCTCTCTGCCAAGAAAAGCCGTTTACTTCTCATATCTCTTCCTACTGGAGTAGGGCAAATGGGCATCTGGCTACACATCAAAGCCCCGTGCTCACCTTCAGGCTGCTCTGGTCCCTACTAAAGTGTACCTGTTATGCGTACCAAAGCTTCCACACTAGTGTCCTGGCTTTTCACAACCCCACTTCTTCCCTAAACTCCCAGACTATTCCAGCTTTCAGGCTTATCTCCCCCCAGTTTCTCTGTTTCAGAGAGACAGTCCTGTCTCTGTCCCAGAGAGAGACTCATGGCTGCTCTGGCTATTCTCTCTCTCACAGATACAAGGATCTTTCCCCATCTACAGAGTAGTCAAGGCGGTGATCTCACCGCACCCTTGCTTCTATCGGTCGTCCTAAGAGTTAAAACAGTAGAGTAAGAACGAAAGAACTATGCTAGAGAACCATGTAGCACAGGAAAATAACACTGTGTAATATTGTTATCATAAACCCTTAAATATTAAATGAAAGGCTTTGGCTGTTTTACAAAATACTAGTGATGTCCATGGGTATATGGTGCTCAATTTTTGTCTGTTCCTGTCTGGATTCTAATGACGGGAGGGACAGGAGCTTTGAACACGTGTATAACAAAAACAGGCATTGAGGATACGAAGGAAAGGCAGAGCACAGCCTGCTGTGACTCAAGCTAGAACCACTTTTCTGTAGGTCTGCACTCACTGTGCAGTGGATCAGTGAGGAACAGAATTTAAGGGAAAGAAGCTCTCTGGCTATGCATCAAATCTGAGACCAGTCTGGGTACACGAGATCCTGTCCCATAAAACAAACTATTACTTACACTTACTCTGCTGCTTCCTGGCACCGTGTCACCACTAAGGTGACTGCTCCTTCCTACATCCATCCTTGGCTTTTTTCTGACACCGACGTCTGCCTCTTGTTTCTCAACTTTCACTTGAACTTCCAGCCCCAGCTCTGTACTTTTGAGTAGCTCTTCCAATACTTCCTCTTCTATGGCTGAATCAACCTCTTTCCTTTTGTTTGGTCTAAGACATTCTGTGGGAAACGATTTAGTGGCAGGACTCGACCCATTGAGTTTCATGTCTCTGTCACCCACAAGTGAGCTACCTGCTTCCCTGTCCACAAGCTCACTCTGAGAAGGATGTTCCTTGCTTTTCCAAAGTGAGGGAGCAGCAGGTTGCGTTTGTTCTAAGAGAGAACAAGACAGGTCCATTCTTGACGACTTGGATGAAGACATTTCTGGATTTTCTTCATCCCTTTCCCTTAGGTTTGAAAAGAAAACAAAATGAGAGACAGGAATTTGTTTAATTTCTCAGTCTTTGCTACTCAATCCTGACTACCGAGAGTATTACTGGAAATCAGCCCTTTAGTACGGTCTGTGCATAGTGATTTCTACTCTGCTGACTGGACTGGTGCAGCCTGTGGTTCAGGAGAGCCCTGACCTCTGCTAACGTATCATCAGGGATAAATCAGTGTGAAGAGAGAACTACATAGACACACCCAGGACCCACAGTCCTCTGCTAACGCGTCATCAGAGATAAGTCAGTGTGAAAAGAGAACTACATAGACACACCCAGGACCCACTGTCCTCTGCTAACGCGTCATCAGAGATAAGTCAGTGTGAAAAGAGAACTACATAGACACACCCAGGACCCACTGTCCTCTGCTAACGTGTCATCAGAGATAAATCAGTGTGAAGAGAGAACTACATAGACACACCCAGAACCCAGTGACCTCTGCTAATGTGTCATCAGAGATAAATCAGTGTGAGAAGAGAACTATATAGACACACCCAGGACCCACTGACTTCTGACCTCTGCTAACATATCATCAGAGATAAATCAGTGTGAAAAGAGAACTACATAGACACACCCAGGACCCACTGTCCTCTGCTAACGGATCATCAGAGATAAATCAGTGTGAGAAGAGAACTACATAGACACACCCAGGACCCACTGACAAAGGCAGCAGCTTATTCAGCAGTGTAGGAAATTCATGGGCAACTAAAATTATATCTGGGACTGTAATCTGATGGGCTAATGAGAGCTGGTATCAAAAAATTAAGCCAAACAGGCTAAATCTAGCGGCTACCACAAAGTGAATACTGTAAACACGTGTGCCACGCCAGAGGCACTAAATGCATTTGTTTATGCAATTGTACCACAGTCCAGAGGACTTGCAACTGGTCCTCTGCTGTCTAGGTTGCCAAAGTCCTGAGTACAGAGCTGGGGGCAAATGGATGGAAGGGGAGATACGGATCTGAGAAGGCAAGGGGGGGAAATAAGTGATGATTGTAAACCACTCTTCTTACCTTGCAAGAGAGAGAGAGAGAGAGAGAGAGAGAGAGAGAGAGAGAGAGAGAGAGATGATTCTGGAACTTGGGTTTGGCTAATCTTTCCTAAAGATGAAAGCACCCAGAAAATAAAGCTAAAGTAGGAGGACATGAAGAAAAACAAAGTACAGTCTGTATAATGGGCCTAGTGAAGGAGATTGGGACAAAACTGAGATTGGATCAGCTCAGAAATAAAACCACGGGGCCAGCAAGGTAGCTCAGCTGGTAAGGGCCCCAACCCTGAAAGTCTCCTACATGTTATCTTCTGACCTTCTCTCTCTCTCTCTCTCTCTCTCTCTCTCTCTCTCTCTCTCACACACACACACACACACACACACACACACACACAGAATATAATCTTTAAAAACAGAAATACGAGCTTTCCACAGAAACACTGTTTCTATTTTAACAGACCAGCTAGAGAAAACACTACTCTACGTTATCTATCTGAACACGACTTTCACAGACACAGCTGGGGAATCATCGACAACTTACCTTTTCTTAGTGCATGGCTGGAAGTAGTTTCTGATGGAGTTCTGTTGCTGCTGAGAAGTCCAATCTTTACTTTTATTAGCAGCAGGGACTTTCACTGGTGAAAGCTGATAGTTTGGGTTCTTTTCCCTAGCCAGGGAATTTGGTGCCACATGATTAGTCTTGGAGCTGGACTTGGGGACCTCCTGCTTACTACAAGTTCCCTGTGAAGGCGGTCTAACGTTTTGTTCCACTCCACATGTCTTTACTTCTTTTGGTTTTTCACTCAAAGACATGCTATGAGAAAAGGAAAGAAAGCACACAATTAGCAGCATTTTTTAAGAAACACAATTTCAGACGATTAGATAATAATTCAACTGTGTCTTCCCAGTCCAAGAATAGGAAGACCTATCTAAGGCCTCAAGGACAACATCAACATCACATGCTCCCTGCTGTAGCACACTTCTTCAGACACGCACTTGAGAAGTAACTGCCAAGTACACTCACGGCCTTAACCAAGTATCCTACTGGAAACTAAACTAGGCAGTAGCCTATTGCATTTATTTATTTATTTGTTTGTTTGTTTGTTTGTTTGTTTATTTATTGGTTTTTCGAGACAGGGTTTCTCTCTGTAGCTTTGGAGCCTGTCCTGGAACTAGCTCTGTAGACCAGGCTGGTCTCGAACTCACAGAGATCCGCCTGCGTCTGCCTCCCAAGTGCTGGGATTAAAGGCGTGCGCCACCACCCGGCACATTTAAACATTTTTAAATTGTTTTCATGTAAGACTGCTATAATGAAATACAGAAAATCAGGAAAACTCCTATTATTTCAGTATCACACATACCAGTACATTTAAATCACTGTACAGACTGATGAGTCTCTCTAAGCAGTGGTGGTCTCTGCTATACAACTTCTAGAAAAATATTTTAAAGATATGCACTATTTTGTAAAATATGATTGAACAGACTGAAAACCAAATAAAGCTGTCTTTCAAGCAACTACTAAAAATTAACTGTTTCTTTTACAAGTTCTGCCCAATTAATATAATAGTAAAGTTAAAGACAATCTAACATAGTGTTATTAAATATCTCAATAGGAACATGCTTTTGTGTACTATTGAAAATGACTTTGAAAACTATCACAGAATACAAAATGGTAACCCTTTCTGGGAACCAACAAAATAAAAAGAAACAGAGTTCTTCAAATAAGAGAAACCACTGAAAAACTACACATAGGGATGAACATGAACTAACTGGATACCCAGGCAAACATAACATAGCACCTCCCAAATTAGGTAGCAGGGCAACCCAGCGAGAGGTTTCTCCAAGTTGGGTTCCTGCTGAGGCCAGTCAGGTTTAACTAGAATTTGATCTTCCTGATAAAGGTAAATTCCTCAACTCTATCTATTCTAGGATCCAAGGCCAAGATGTCCTAGCTTGCTTATCTTAGTTTGTTAAATTGTTTGCTAGTGCAAACCTCCTGCAGCTGCTGAATGAGATGCCAGAATGTGGTTTTTGCCTTTAAAAGTCCCTTGGTCTAAATGCTCAGGGCTACAGTAGGGTGGGAATATTTAATACTTTACAGCTGCCTGGAAAAATGACTTTCGATTGTCTCTAAGTTTGGTCTGACTCCCTGTAACCATTATACAGACTAGCATATTTATAATACTATCCCTATATTCTAAGACCATCAGAGACCTGAGGCCTGAAACCAAAGATGGTGCTGAATCCTGTAAATATGTTTTGCATGTATATACACCATTACTGTAGACATTAGGATAGAGATTAACAGTAGGAACTAACAAAGCAGAATAACTACGGAGGTTGTAAAGATGGGTCAGTAGTTAAGAAAGCACTGGCTGCTCTTCCAGAGGACCCAGGTTCAATTGCCAGCACCCATATGGGAGCTCACAACTGTCTATAATTACAATTCCAGTGATCTGACACACTCGCAGGCATACATGTAGGAAAACTGTCAATGCACATAGAAATAAACTTTAAAAGAATTTAAAAAGATAGAACACTACATACTATAATAAAGTTCCAGGAATGTGGTGTCTCCAAAGAGTCTGACTGCATTGTACCCACCCTTCTTTTGAGACAACACAAAATAATCACCATGTGGTTACGATGAGGAGCGCGAAATAGTTTGGGCACTGTGATACAGCATCAGACAGCAGCGTAAGAATTACGTGAGCGTAAGCACTGGAACACTGAGACACTCAATCCAGTAACTACAGCAGCTAGTAGTGACCAACAGGTGTGCAGCACACAGTGCGGACCCCCTGCACAAGGGAATAATGTGGATCTAAGGAAGATAACGTGGTACCAGTTCTCAACCTGGGGGTCAGATGACCCTTTCACAGGGGCCACCTAAGACCATCAGAACACAAATATTTACACTACAATTCACAATAGTAGCAAAATTACAGTTATGAAGTGGCAGGAAAATAATTTTCTGGTTGGGGGAGACCACACATGAGGAATTGTATCAAAGGGTCACAGCATTAGGAAGGCTGAGAGCCACTGTGCTAAGAGACTTCATCACGCTATTCAAAAGCATGAGATAAACTTAGGAATTTCTAATTCTAGTGATTTTCCATTCCATATTTTTAGTAGATGGTTTACTATGGGTGTGTGTGTGTGGGGCTACTATGGTTCAAGTTAATTTCAAAGCCACAAACTCTTTCTCTTTTTCAAACACATTTGAAGGAACAATAAAAATTACCCTAAGGAAATGAAAGTTAGCAGACTCAGTCGGATCTGCCACACCACCGCACTCAGTCCCACGCCATCTATAGCGACGTCGAGTCTGCAACAGTGGAGTTCCGTGATACAACCCAGACCAGCAGCTCACAGCTCCTGAGATTTCCTTGCTGAAAGAACTACAGGCTAATGATCTGATGTAGCAGGGTGTTAAAGCGATTGACCATTTGAGTTATCTTTTGGATCATGTTAACAAAATCTTTTGTTAGTTTCTCTCCCCATTTGTACTGGGCATAAAGCTATGGAAAAATAAGCTGGGCGATTTCAATATTCACTGGAACGCCCCCCCCCCCACTCTTCTGTGGTTTCTGTCTTACTATTTTTCATGGTCTTCATATTCTTTACCAATATTTCTAAATCCCCACACCCCTACCCTGGCCAAGGCCGGTCAGCCAGTTTTCTCTGGCATTCCCTTCTCCCATGCTTTATCTCCAAAATGATCGGCTTGAGAGGGAGCAACTCCTTGGATCCGCGACTGACTGGTAAAACAAAGACACAACACGGTAAGAAGGATATTTTACCATGTATCTGCTTGCTCGGACTCTGTGTCGGTTACATATGCAGTCATATCCACCGGAGCACTTGGCATTATTTTTCCATTGACTGACAAGCCTTGGGAAAGGCTTGGTCCCGGAGTAGTTGTTTTCAATTCTGTACATCAGGCAAGTGGAAAGGAAAAAACAATCACAATCATTGTATGTAACATGGAAACAATTAAAAAACCTCAAGCTGTCTGAGGGGCAAAACGAACTGCTAACTGGACAGCTAGAGGAGAACAGAGAAGTCAGCCGGGCTATGACTGCTGCCGGAACCTCGCCCGGCTCACACACTCCCTCCCTCGTGCCTCATGGGTAACATGATGGCAGGCATGTATACACCAGAGCCAAGGCTACACTGAGACTGTGCCGACTGTCACCGCCATCCACAGCCTGGTTTCTGTATGAAGGCCCTGATCTGCCCGTCAAAAGCCAGATGCAGGACCAGTTTGGCCCTGATTGTTGTAAAATCTCCCAATTTTTTCAGCCTTGCCATCTGCTCCCCTCCCTTGGAGACAGGGTCTCAAGGCCCATGCTGGCCTTGAACTCAGAAGTAGCTAAAGCTTTGAATTCTTTTTCCTCCTGCCTCTGCCTGGGAATGCTGCAATTTCAGACTTGAACACCTTACTTGGTGGCTTCCTAAAAAGCCTCACGATGAGCTTCAACTTTAGTAATTTCAGAGTTACAGAAGAGCCAAACCAAGCGTTCAGGTTCCTCACACACCCAGGATCACGTACTGTTAGCTGCTTCCGTTCATGTAACACAGGGGGTCTCAGCCTGTGGGTCGTGACCCCTCTGGGGGTGGAGCGGCCCTTTCACAGGGTCACATATCAGATGTTTGCGTTATGATTCATAACAGTAGTAAAATTACAGCTATGTGGTAGCAATGAAAATGATGTTATGGCTGGGGTCAGCACACATGGACAACTGCTGAAATGAATGAACCAACACTAATAACATTCAACACCACTCCTAATAAAGTTCTGGAGTATGTCTAATGTTTATTTACTCTTTTTCCACTACAGGACACTTGCTCTGTTTACCTGCTGGCTTTTACAGTGTCTGTATTTACCCACTGTTGAGGGCGGAGCCCGGTACCGTATACCTGCTCCGAAGCACCCGACCTCTGAGCTGCAGTACCAGCTCTACCCTTTGCCTTTCAATCCAAAGATTCAAGGACCTCTAGGGCCTTTTCACACATAAACTGCAGACAAAAAAAGTTTGTTGGTTCACACTGCCAAGATAACCTTGTAAACTAGTAACCTAAGCTTTTAAAAAAGTGTTCTGTAAAGGCGTCAGGAAGAGGTAAGAGCTGAAGGAGAGGGCTGCAGCCAGACTGTCCAGGCAGGAGCCAGACTGAGTTTAGAGGAGGCTTCTGTTCACAGTGAGAGGTGGGTGAGTATTCAGAAAAACCAGAGTGCTGATGCTATTCGGGCAGTGAGGCGTGAGCCACACTGACGCATCTGGAGGAGAATCATCACCACCATAGACCCCCAGAGGTCTGTGCAGACATAAACCAGGGCTGTGGCTGTAGACAGGAAGGAGGAGGGTGAGTTTCCGATCTGAGAAGTGAGACAAGGGATGGAAATGAGGTTGACGGAAGCTTGCAGGCCAAGCGTCTCCTCAGACAAGAACTCTAGACCAGCTCTTCCCCAGACATTCATACCCAGCGGCTCGAGTTCGGTATAGAAATGCAAATTTACAACCAAAGCACGCAGCTGCCTCGGCCACGTCCCAGAATACTGTGAGCTAAGGAATTCAAATATCGTAAAAACTACTTCTATGGTGTGTACATAGTTGAGAATCTGGGCACTGAACAGAAACAAAAGACTGATGCCACCAACAGGGGCTAGGATTAAGAGAGGCTACTGACTTAGATGCAGTTCTCTTTCCGTGTTTATTGCTCATGTCTTCAACTATTGATGTTTGGTCCCCGCCCTCATAATAGCAACAAAACAAACAGCACATGCTATTTCTAAAATGTTGGACAGATTTTTTTTAATCTTATTTTTTATTTTATGGGCATTGATGTTTGACTTGTATGTGCGTCTATATGAGGGTGCTGGATCCCCTGGAACTGGAGTTATGTGGGTGCTGGGAATTGAACCTGGGTCCTCTGGAAAAGCAGCAGTGTTAACAGCTGAGCATCATTCTAGCTCCCAGATTTCTAAGCGGTAGGAAGGGACAGCCTCTCCAAAATTGTGATATTTAGGTATCTAAGCTAGTTTTCTTGTTAAAAGGATAAAGAGTAGTCTCTAGGCTATAATCTAAAGATAAACTCTGGGAATTTCAGTCATAAACCTTGGGAAAATATTATTCATAATACAACTTCAGCAGAAGAAATCATGTGACTATTTAAAACTTCCCGAGCACTTCACTCTGTGTTCTTGGAAGCAAACCTACTTCGCTGACGCGTCAGAAACCAGCTGCGACCCGAGAGTTGGTCAGCATGGACTGTGTGGTGTGAACTTGGATTAAAGGGCTAACTGCTCCATACATCAGTGCCTGTTCACTCACTAATGAACCAGCAACTACAGCAGCACCCAGTACTACGGCAGAACGATGCATCAACTGAGTAAATGAACGAATGTATAAATAGGTGAGTTCTGAAAGAAGGAATGGTTACACCTTACAAGCATAATAGTAAAGTACACATATAAACAAATACATACATTTGTAGATTTTCTAAACAATCAATAAAATGCCTTATTTACCTGTACAAGGCTGGCCCTGAGGATTACAGTAATTTTCTGTAGTCATAAAAATAACAGCCAATCCAATTTCTGCTTCAGGAATAGACCTAAGACCATGTCTATGAGAAGAAAATAGCTTAAATATAGTAATATACTAAAACTAACAACTTTCATTATTAGAATATCAAGCTTGACAAATCTATTTTTCTTCCCAAAGAGACACTAAAATTCTACAATATGGACAGACTTGAAAAGTAGACAGTATTTTTAAATTCCTCCCTAGGGCAGTATTGTGGACAATCCCTCATCCTCCAGCAACTCAGCTAAATCGTCAATTGGATCAGGGCTAGAGCAGAGGAGAGGTCTTCCCAGTCCTACACTGCTATGGTAATTTTCAGAATGAGCACACAGTACTATCTAAAAGACAACAGAACAGACCCTCATATAGAAATTTACAACTACACTGATCCCATAGAAAGGCAGCAAGAAGGTGGGGGCTACAATCACCATCCATAAGCTCACCTCCAGACACATAAAATTAGCATACTAGTCATAAGAGTTTCTGGCTGTGCCGCACTGACCAGCCTCACTCAGGGACTCCCACCTCCTACTGAGAGTCCTGGGCTGGCACAGACTACTTCACGCAGGAGTCTTATGGGGACTCTTATCTGCTATATTCTACAATATGAATGATTTTATGAAACAGAATACTTAGTATAATTTAAAAAAAATGTTATATAGACACTGTAATAAATTGTAAGCTACAAAGCACCTCTTAAAACTCAATGAAGAGTTGTTTCAAATGGTTGTGGTAGTTTGAATTATGTGACATGTTTTCTGAATTTAGAATTCTACTGCACTATGATTATAACAATATTGCAGTGAAAGTAAGATTTTAGCGCCCTAAGAGATGTCTTAGCAGTTAAGACCATCCTTCCCTCTACTCCATGCAATTAGGGCAGGATTAGCTACAACTGGCTGGAGGGCGTGGCTACACAGCTGAGGGTCCAGTGAACCTCCCCATACGTCCTTCTATGAGTAAAGACCAGCAGCTATAGTGTGGTGTGGTAGCACATGTCTTTAATCCCAGCACTCTGGAGACAGAGCTCTTTGAGTCTGAGGTCAGACAGCCAGAGCTATATATAGCTATATAGCCAAACCCTGTCTCAAAATAAAACAAAATGCAAGAGAAATTTAAAAAAGAAAAAAAGGGGGGAAAAAAAAAAGCAAATTCTATAAATTCTATTCAAGGAGCAAAAGGCAGAAAATACCTAGCTAAGATTATAAAGCTATTCCACCCTCTAGCACCCCAAATGGCAAACCTTGTAGACACAGTTACATTAACTGGGCTGCATGTAAATGTACCTGCATTCCTAACCAGCGAAGAATGATGACGTACCTTTGAAGCACATCCATTACCAAACGAACCCATTTTTTCTGTGAGTCAGTAATTATGATCTGTGTATTTGTTATTCCTATGTCGACAACACAAGTTCCAGGAGCCGAAAAGAAACTCTCTTCCTCTTCATTTTCTTCTGCCATCAGCCTGGCTTCCCCGCCTCCAAAAACAACTGCTGAACTTAATTTCTTATGCTGGAAACAGAAGAAGGGTTGAACCAAGCAAGGGTCAGCTGCAATGAGGCTTTGGAGCACGTTCTCACTAGGTACAAACTGGACTTGGGAATCCAAAGACAAGAATTCATCCTACTTCCCAGTGGCAATCAAGCTTCCACTCTGGAAAGCCTGGCTCAGCACCCTGTCTCTAGCCCACACATCACTACAGTTTTCTCATCACGCAGCTCACCAAGGGCTGGCTCACCTGCACGATTTTGCCACTGCATCATAAACTCCTGAAATCCACGTTTTGGAACACAAAAGACATTGCACACATGTTCTCTTAGCTAAACCAGAGAGGACTTACATGTTTTCTGTCCTTCCCACTACAGCACTCACACCCACTACATGGGCCAATTAGGCAGTGTTCGGAGACACCCAAATCAGATACACACACAAGCAGGCTATAGCACGCTGGCAGCTCTTTATCTTATTTCACACATCAACATAAAACCCACAAATAAAAAGCCCTAACAGCTGTCAATAAAAATACTAGTGTGGTGGCTGGACCAATGCCCAAGTGACTCACTGGATGCTCTCGCGAAGGACCTGGGTTCAGTTTCCAGTACCCACACGGTGGTAACTATAACTGTCTAACTGTAGTTCCAGGGCACGACGCCCTCGTCTGACCTCCCCGGGTACAAGGCATGCAGGAGATGCACATGCAGACAAAACACCCATACACAAAAAATAAATACACTTAAAAAAAAAAAAAAGAAAACTAATGTATCCAAGCTTTAAAATTACCTGTTTGGCATTTAAAAATACAAATGTCTTCCCTTTGAAGATTTGTTTTCTCTCCTGTCGTCCTGACAGATCAACACTTTTATTCCCGATAGATGGTTCATCAATGGGTGGGTAAAACCTGTAAGAATAATTAAAATATACTCTAATCATATGCTCTTCTGTATGTTTACTATTGAATTTGTGAATGAGATGACTGCCTGGAACCAAAAAGGTTTAATTTCACTATGACTTGAGCCAGGCACAAGGATCTATGTCTTTATCCCCAGGAAGCAGAAACGAGGATCAGGGCAAGTTCAGGGCTAGCCTGGTCTACATGATGAGCTAGAGTAACTGACAGAACACAGTACACGAGTGACCTGCCACGGCACGGCAACATGGTGAGATCCTGTCATTACAAAAAAAAAAAAAAAAAAAAAAAAAAAGGCAAAAAACCCAAGAAGAAGCAAACAAAAAACACTATTTTGAGGGGTTTTGTTTTGTTTTGTATTTTCTCAGTAAAGCTTTATTTGAAAAAAAAATACCAAAGGTATCTAAATGCCTTTTCCTAAAATAAGATATGGTTGCATGCATTCTAGAAAAATGCCTCTGTATTTTCTTAACTACACCAAGGGAGATGACCGCAACAAGACACACGTTAAGCAAGAATGAAGCTACAGGTTGTTTCTGGCCAATCTCTTCTTATCCTAGGCCTGGAGAGTGTAGAGAAGGCACAAGGCCTTGTGTGCTCAGGGTAAGGAGGGGTGCATGTGTGAACCCACGGCTAGGGACCAGCAAGCACGCCCCACCTCTCCTCCCATGCTCTCTCTCACTGCAAACATTACACAGCAATTTCTGTGTCTCTGCACAGCCAGCAAATTACGTATGAATGCCAGAGATCCAAGGAGACTCTCCCAACAGTGAGACTTGTTTGAAACAACATGTCACAACATGAGAGTTCTGTACACACTGAACGAAAACTCACTCCTCTTTTTCTTATGTTCAGACACACACAATGTAGACTCTCCTGTTTGAATATACAGGATACACTTCAACAGTTTTTCCAACACCAGGTCTTCTAGAAACGACTTCCTCTGTCCCAGTATATCAGGTACATGTGGTGGTGACTGTCCTACCCCATTTCGGGATAACCTGCACAATGCAGGTGTCGGTGCACTAAACAGGACAGCACTTGAGGTGTAGTAACACCATAGCATGCCCTGATTTAAATTCAGAGCTAGGCATATTTTTCCAGAACTAAAAAAGTGTTTATGACATAAAGAGTCACTATAGTTCATTATCTCTTTTATATTCATTTCTATTAATAATGTTTTTAAAAAATTTATGTTTATGAGAGTTTGCTTGCATATGTATATGTTGGAATACTATGTGTAGACCTCAACTAGAGCTACAGACGGTTGTGAATTCAATCTAGGTGCTGGAACGAAACCTATGAAAAAAGGTCACCCACCCTCAACAATCACAATTTATATTACTACAGAGTATCACTACATAACATATAAATTTCCTAAGGTGGTTGTTCAGAACTGACAGAATATGAAAAGCACAGAAATTAAGACTATGAATCTACTTGGATATTTGAGAGTTAACAACAATAAACATTTCTTTTCGGCAAGCGCTTCTTTCAGACAGCCTGCTCGGACCTTAAACGCGGTGCGCTATTACTAAGCACGAGTCACCCCATACTCAGGTGACAGGGTTTCACCACGCAGGCCAGGCTGGCTGTCACCCCATACTCAGGTGACAGGGTTTCACCACGCAGGCCAGGCTGGCTGTCACCCCATACTCAGGTAACAGGGTTTCCCCACGCAGGCCAGGCTGGCTGGGAATTTGCTACCCTTCTGCCATAGCATCTGGCCTATGCTGGGGCTACCAGCAAGAGCCTCCTCACCCAGCTTAGCAGCATGTTTGAAAAGAGGTAACGAAGACCACAGCTCTGGTCTCTGTGGCTGCAGGTGTCTTGCTGTACAACAACGCTTTTAGGCTTCTTTTCCGATGACGTCATGACTGTCACGTGTGCTCTCCTGACCACACCTCAGGGTCTTTCATTGCCCTTACACTTTGATATTTAAAAATAATAATTATATGTGTCAATAATAGCACTTAAGTAAGATTTGTTCCAAGGCAACAGAAAACATCTGATATGGAATTAATATAAATAAAAGCAATGCCTACTTATTTCTATGCTATATTTTATCAAATTTAACATAGTTATATACCTTTCAATTTCTGGAGGCTGTTTCTTGGACTCAACTGCTTTGAGAAATTCAGAAAAGTATTCTGGCTTTACAATTGGACATCCACATATGAGGGCACATATAGTCTAAAACAGAAAATCACATGTAACTATAAATACATATATTCATACAATAGCTTACTTAAAAGGAAGCTGTAGGTTATAAACTACAAAGAGGAGGTTCTAAGTTTTCGTAGAGCCACCTTTTCCTATCAAAGTCCTGGCTTTATAAAGGCGACACCATCTAAAAGCACAAGTCAGCACTTGGTCGCACCTTAGGTTAGGACGAAGCAGGCACTTTTACAAAGCCCTCCGTCACCGCTGTGACTCTGCTGGCGGGACTCACTGAGGTAATACTGAACTACGCCAACTCTCTAGTCTTTGTGAGCAGACTCTTCCATAAGAGCAGTGTGAGGAACAGGTGGTGAGGGCAGGAGGAAGTGGACCTGACGGAGGAGACATGAGATGCTGACCTTCTAGAGAGGCAAGCACTTCAGTCTGTTTCTGACTGCATGCAGGATCTATGCAATCAAATGAATTTCATGGTAAAGAATAACATAAAAATCTTTCTAAAATACCAAACCAAACTCTGAAATATTATTCAGTGTGCTTTTCCTTCTGAGACAACAGTGAAAAGCCACACGAGCCTAAATATGAACAATGGGGTGGACATACATGAGTCAACAGCTGTTCTGACAGTAGTATGTCACTTCGGTGAGCTCGAGCCAACAGAACTGATCTCACACAAAGATTCGAACCTACTTTAATGGTGACTTTAACTGACGCCATGACAAGGTGAGTGCATTCTTCTGTCCAGCTATTTGTAGTGAGTCCTCCGAGCTGTAATACAGCTTGATTTAAATCAGTTTTCCCGGGGATGTCTAAACAAGAAGAGCACACAACCAAAGGCTCATACTCCACTCTGCAAAGAAAAATAAGTTACATAAGGTTAGATCGTAATTCTGGGGACAGCAATTTACAGGATTCAAAAATATCAGTCATTTTAATTTTAATACATTTTTTCCTAAGAAATTATCATTTCTTAAGTCTCAAATCCTAATGAAGAAAAAGCAATGACCAAAAATTAGCATTACATGTCACCTATGAGACTCAAACAATTGATCTACCCTATGACTCTGAGCCCACACCAACTCATCCAGTTACGGCAGTTTAATTCATCACCCAGAAAACCTCTTCTAGAATTTCAAATAAAGCTGTGACTTCCACATCAGCTTTGGAAGTTCATACCTGAATTTGCTTTCAAACACCCCAAAGGTAACTCTGTCTCCTGTCTTCAAAGTGCAGGGAAGGCCATTCTGCATTTTTTCCTCATTAACAAAGGTTCCATACTTTGAATTATCTTTTATTGTTAATGTAGGAATTTCATATGTTTGACTCTGGAAAAAAAATCAACAAATGATTTAAAGTCTTTAACTACTTCGTAATTACAGGGCAGAGCTCACAAGATATGTAACTTTCTGGGTAAGCAAAAACTAAGTACATGGGGCTGTCTTCAGGGAATGATCACTCAACTAACAATTCTTATTGTCCCTAAGACTGCTTCTTAGAGCCAAGAAATACTAACAGTGTGGATTTCCCTAGCCACTCAGTTCATTCTCCTGAGGCTTTGTTTGTTTGATACAGTCTGTTTTGTATTTAAAAGACAAAGTGTATCCTCCCCTATATATATATTTTTAAATACTATCAAAATTGTACCATTAAAAACTAACCCAATGAGAATATAAGGTTAAAGGCTAGAGTTCCTGGCTGAATGTAAGTATTTTACTTTTTTCTAGAGGAGTTTCAATAATAAACATTTTCTCTACTCCTAAAAGAACAGACTTAAAACCTGAATTTCTGAGCAGCTAGCATTTACACATATGCAGGCTGCACAAAACAGTGGCTTTTCTTAGGCTACAAACACAAATATAAGTACCGACAGTCAGGTAAACCCACTTCCACACCTGTGGGTGTGATAAAAGACACCCAGAGCACAGGACAGTTACTTTCCCTAGTAAGACATATCAATCCCCACCCTGAAATACATCAAGTCCTTTAAAGCTGTATTCTCAGAACTGACACAAGACCAAGGCGAACCACTTGGTAAAGGCCCTGCAGTTGGATCTGAACGTCTTCCAAAGACCCATATGCTAAAGGCTTAGCTGCCACTGGTGGGGCTGGGAAAGGAAGCTGGGCCTGTGAAAGTGTGCACTGGACAGAGTTCTGGGACTCCACCTTTGCCCAGCTTGCTTCTCGGCTGCCAGCAGGGAAGCAGACTCTATGGCGTGTGCCGTGATATACGGCATGGACCACAGATCAAATACGACTCGGCGAAGAGATCACAGATGGAAATCCTGAGCCACAGTGGACCTTCAGCATTTCATCACTGCGAGAAAGGACAAACCCAATGTTTCCTAACGCCTTTTCTGGATTTCAAAATCACCTAAAGAATAGGAAACTATTCTAATAGAATCACTGCTGCTTATGTGTGGGTTCTCCTGCTGTTTTCATTCTACCCAGACAGACAGGATTTCTAATCTGCTGACAAGACAGTAAAATAAAGCCAGCAGCATACCAGGCCGGCTGCAGGGAAGTTTACTCTTAGCACAGCATGGCTCCGACTGATCGACTGATCGTTCTCTATTAGAATGGCACAGTTTTTCCTTCCAACGATGTACTCTACGCCAGCCAAAAGTCTGCATGGTTCTCCTGAAGAAAAACAAAAATCAACAAATTTAAGGTACACACACACACACGTTTTCAAGGTACGTGACAAAATGTAGAGGTATTACAAATAAATCACACTTCTGCTATATAAATGCTAAGCAACTGAGCATAATATATTACATACACATATGCATACACATCAAATTGGCTTTTTAAAATTTTTTCCCTTGGGTTTACTTCACGCGTTTTGCCTGTCTGAATGAGTGCGCATCACGCACTAGGGCCCCTGCAAGCTCCGCAGCTGGCAGCAGAGGATCCACAGAGAGCCAAGAATAAAACTCCGTGCACATGACTTAGTTACCCAGTGCTGGTTCAAAAGTCTGGAGCCTGACACCAAGCAGTTTATTTTATCCATATTTAGGCACAGCACAATTTTAGGAAAATGTTTCCTGGTAACAAATCAGTCCAGGCTATACAACAAAGCTCAAGACAAGTTTGCACTGAAACTCTTTACAAAGTGCATATGGCTTCTTCCACAAAGATGGGTTCACTTAACTCAGGGACTGTTCAAGAGAAGGGTCTATCTAGGGAGAACGACTAAGGTAACCATAACATCTAGGGAAGTCGGGACTGGTCCTAAGATAACAGAGACGCCACACAGGCCATACACGTGACATCTCCCATAAGGGTCGTTTGATGGACTGGAATGCAATGCTTAACATGTAGGGGGAAAATTCTGAAATAAACAGACGTGATAGTCTGGGGGACTTGGGTGAAGCCTGGCACTGCAGAGGGCGAAAGATCACCAGTGGTGACTACATCCTTTCCCAGCATTCCAGGCGGCAGACAGGCAAACATCTCCTTCTTCTGAAGAGACAGCACCTGTGTTTAACGTCCCTGGTTTCCCAAGTGCGAGTCTCTCAATCTCATACGTGCTTGGTGCTCCTGTCTATCATAAGAGGACATCAGATCCTCAGGATCTGGAGTTAGAGATGGTCGTGAGCCACCATGTGGATGCTGGGAACTGAACCTGGGTTCTTTGCAAGAGCAACGAAAGGTCTTGGCTGCTGGGCCATCTCTCTAGCCACATGTGATTTTTTTTTTTCTAATAAATCTTCACTGAAGGATACATAATGTTATCTAAACACACAGAGGCCTTCATCATTTTGCAAATGAAAAAAAAAATACCGAATACTCCCTCCAACGTAACATAAATTTAGTGTACTATAAAACAAATTCACACTACTGATTTTGGAGTTGATTAAGTGATCTTAAAACTTCACTAGGAAAATATCATAAAAATAAAGGAGGACATGGACAAGTCTGTTCGACTTTACACCTAGCACAAAGGAGGCAGAGCCAGACAGATTTCTGTGCGTTTAAAGTCAGGCAGCTCATATAGTGGAGACCCTTTCCTAATTTAAAAAAAAAAAAAAAAGTCTGGTAAAAAAGATTATCAAAAATACTTTTATTTATTGTATTACCTGTATGAGCACTCGTCTGAATGTCTGTCTGTGTAGCATGTGTATGCATTACTCACAGGGGCCATGGGATGGTGTCGGATGATAGACTGTTCTAACAAACACAGATCCTCAGGAAGGGCTGAAATTTAATGCAATTAAAGGAATCTGCCCTGCCGCATTGCAAAATATGCCAAAAAGCTATAGTAAATAAAAGACGTTTCAATGGACCAGGAAAAAAAAAACCCAACACAGATTGATATAATTAAGATCAGATTAGATGCAACTACACATTTAGGAGATTTTTGCTTTACTGTTAGCAGTAGAATTTCAAATCAGCGTGAGTTTGAAGCCAGTCTGTTCTACAAAGCGAGTTCTAGGACAGTCAGTGATGTCACACAGATAAACCCTATTGAGGGAAAAATTAAAAACCAACCAACAAACAAAACAGTTGTAATCTCTAAATGCTGGAGTAATAGCATGTGGGAACTGGGAGCATGGGCTTCTCTTAGAGAACGGTGGCATATTATCACAAATAAACAAACAGGAACCGTCCAGTAGGACCCTGGCATCCATTCTAAACAGCCCGAGTTATATCATGTCAATGAGATTTGGGTTCATTTTATTTTGTTTTGGGGAGGAAGTCTCTGTATGTTGCCCAGGCTGTCCTCAAACTCAATCTATTCCGGCCTTAGCTTCCGGGAATTGGGATTACAGGCAGGCACCCTTACACTCATTTTACGAGAGATTAACCTTGACAGTCTCAAGGACAGAAAACCCCTGTTAGTTTATGAAACAACACAAAAGTGACCAACTGATTTGAAAACTAATCCCTTAGCTCCCGTCAGATGCTGAGATGCACCTCTGCCAATGCTTCTAAAAGCATATTTATTCTGCTATCCTGTTAATAAAGGGTTAAGGCTGCCTGGGTGGATACCCAACTACAGCCCACAAACACATTTTTCTAACAGATGGCGAGGTATCAGCCAGTCACACCAACCTATCAGAGGGCAGCCTTAGGCTGTAAACCCCTCCTTATCCACCCGAGTAGGGCGACGGCTGAAGTCAAATTCCGGAAGGTGTTTTTCTAAGTTATGTCCATTTTCTGTCTACAAACTATTGCTTGACCAAGGTGCTGTACGGCGGAGTTCCGTGAAGTTCTGCGGGTCAAGGCCTCAAACTTGAATGTGTCCGGTTGTTTATCCATTCTGAGACGCGATCTCTAGCAGCTCAGCGGGCCTCTAACTCTGTAGCTGAGGACAGGGAACCTTTAACTCCCGATCCTCCTTCCTCCACCTCCCAAGTGTGGGATTGCAGGCCTGCGCCACCGCGTCCAGAAAATTCCTGTCATCTCACAGCAACCCACAGACCCAGCTAGGCTCAGGCTAACTACTCAGAGTCCTGCTCGCTCACCCATATAAATTTGTGTTCTATCTTCGCAAGGTGGTCAAAGCACAGGGACCATCCTTCTGCCTGTGTATTTCCCTTTACGCTGTCAGCAAACTTCCTCCTCACTAACTTCCCTGTTAACAAAATCCAACCGCGGGCAAGCGCTCACCTTTCCGTCAACTAATAATGACTATATATGGCGACAACCACTTAGCACGCGATAACATTTTCGCTGAGCAAAAATGGGCGGGTGGAGGCTTTTTTCCATTGCCCTAAGAGTCTGGGGTGCAATGATGAAGTAAAACTTTAAAGCGGACCCGGGTCGTCACGTGATTCTCCACAGCGTGCACCCGACGGGGTCTTCGGTCCCCACCCTTGCGTTTCCCGTCAGGGCTTCCGTTCCGCCCCCGGTTCGCAGCCGAGCTGGAGCGGGTCTCACCGGGCACCGCCCGGCCCATTCGGGGCGCCCGGCCCGGATTCCAGCGCTCGGCTCTCAGCGGCCGGCCAGGCTTCCCGAGTTCCCGGAGTCTCGCCGCCACCGGAAGGCGAGCCGGACGGACCGGAAGTGCGCCCCGGCGCGGCCTCCCCGCCCCCAACTCCCTGCAGCAGCTCCCGGGAAGAGCTTCCTCCGTCGCCTACCTGCAGCCCCGCTAGCGGCGGGGAGCAGCTTCCACATGGGTCCGGCGCCTCGGAGCCCCGCCACGCGCCACGCCAACCGCGGCTGTCCGGCGTGCGCGGCCACCGAGCTGCAGCGGCGCGGGCTCCGCGACGTGCGCGCTCCCAGGACTACGCCAAGTCCCTCGGAAGCGCGGGAAGGAGGCGCGAGTGCGCCGCCCGCGCCGCGCGCCACCTGCTGGTCGCCGGGAGCAGTGCAGCGCGGAAAGTGTCCCGTTAAAAGGGTGTGACTGTGACGCCCTAATCCACAAACTATAACAGTGTTTAAAAATCTCCGAACTAACGCGAATTTTAAGCTAGAATCATTAAAGTACTGGTTGGTTATATTATTTCCCTGTATTTAAAATGTCTTTATTTGCATCATTTGTGGCAGGATCGGTTAAAATGCAGACCTCATGCCAAAGCCAACTTTTTGTTTAACCCTTTCCAGTGCACATTATGCCAGAAACACAAGTTTGTGTCTTTACACAATGTCATAATTTACTGAATAACAATAAATCAACAAGCTACACGGATATCTGGCTGTAATTTGCCTAGTCCCAATTTTCCTTAATAGCTAGTCATTGTCAAATTTTTTTTTTCTTATCCCAGCTGTAATTTGTAGTGGCATTTCAAAAGACTGCCTGAAGATCTGAGAATAAAACAGTCCCACAGGTCAGCCTTGCAGCCCAGGTTAAGGTAACATACACCTTTAATCCCAGTAGCCATAGAAATCGGGTGGTGCAAGCCCTTAATCCCAGTGGTGCACACCTTTAATCCTAGCCCTAAAGAGGATTATAAAATGGAAGGTGAGGGGAGAGAGCTCTCACACAGTCTCATTCTGAGATTCCTGGAGACAGGATCACCATTTTCCAACTGAGGTCAAGGTAAGAGCCAGTGACTGACTGCTTTATTTTTCGGGTCTTCAGGTTGAACTGCAATTTCTGACCCTGAACTTTTTATTATTGTGCTTCAGTAATTGCTAATAATAACTTTGGGATCACACGTTGCACATCATATAGTAAGTGTGTGTGTGTGTGTAGATTATAGGATGATTGTAAAGGAGTTTGAGACTGTAGCAGAGATATCAAGGGACTTTGAAATCAAAGTACAGGGCTGATACAGATGCAAGCAGAGTAGACGCAGTATTTGCCTAATACGCACAAAGCATGGTTGTGATCTTCAGCAGCAATAAATACATAAATAGAACAGTAATCTTCCCATATAGTGTAACTGACTTTTAGATTACATATGGTATATAACAAAATGTCAATGCTATTTCCACAGTTGTCTGGTACTATTATTTAGAGAATAAGAATATACATCTCTACATATTCAGCAGAAATACTTTTTAAAAAAGTGTTTTAGTCTGTGGCTGTTACAATCTAAGGCTTTGACTGAGAGTCTACTTTTTGCTCTAAGGGACAAGGGAAGAAAAAGGAAGGTTTGGCTCACAACAAGGAGAATTCAGCTTGGAAATTAAGCTTCATTCTTCCTTCCTTCCTTTCTTCCTTTCTTTCTTTCTTTCTTTCTTTCTTTCTTTCTTTCTTTCTTTCTTTCTTTCTTCTCGAGACAGTCTCATTATGTAGTTCTGGTTTGCCTGAAACTCTCTAAATAGACCAGGCTGACCTCAAACTAACAGAAATGCCTGCTTCTGCCTCCCAAGCACTGGGATTAAAGGTGTGTGCACCCATGCCCAGTTAAATTGCTAAGTTTTTTTTTTCTTAATTGTGAGCATACTGCAAAGCTAGGAGGGACTGGTCACTCTTTTCAAACTCTTTCCCTACCGCAGAAGCTACGAGCCTTTACTTCATCCAAACCAAACGTCATAATTTTACATAAGGCTCTGAATATAAGGTTTTAATAAAGCATTCCTCTACATGCTGACATCCAATTATGCCAGCACCATTTGTTGAAGATGCTTTCTGTTCTCTACTGTATATGTATATATGTCAGCATGGTAGTCTTTTTACCACTGTTTATTCTAGTCCATGGGCATCTCTTTAGACATGGGAACACAGCTAAGACAGCCATTGGTAACAGAGGTGGGGTCATCGCTGAGAAAAACCTGACTATGTGGCCATTGGAACTGTTTCATGCCTGAAATGTGGAAGACTTGCAGCTTAGGTTTAGAAAACGCCTTGAATTCTGCAAACAGAATTTACCATTCAGAAGGGATCTTGGAAGACAAGAAAGTTGAAAGAAATGTGGGTAATGGAGGCTAGCTCAGGAGATTTCAGAGGTGAGCAATGACTCAGTAAGGAATTGGAGAAGAGACATTCATTTGATTTTGGGGGTGTGTGTAAAGAATATGGGTTCATTCTACCTGTGCACTTAGCACTTGAGGGGCTGGCTGGTCCTGAGCCCATTCTCGGGTGGACAAAATTCTCTAGTCGAAGAGAGCAGGACAAAGCATGGAGCAGAGCCAGGACGCCCCGGGACCTGTCCTCTCCGGCCACACCGCCTGCCTCCGCAGTCCGTCCCCGCCCCGACCGATACTTCCGGACCGGGCGGGCCCTGCGGTAGAGGCAGTTTAGCTGGAGAGATGGCGCTGCTGGGTACTGCGCTCTTCGCTCGGGTGTCCCGCCTACCCCGCGACCCCGGTCCTCTGAGGGTAAGGCAGGGCGGGGTGGGTGAGGGCCAGGTTCGCTTCCACAGGCGAAGGGTTCCGGGCTCAAGAAAGTGGGAAGAGCGGGGTTCCCGGGAGCAGGGAGATGGAAAGAACGTGGGTGCCCCAGGACAGGAAAGTGGGAAAAGCCAGGGTTCCCGGGCGCAGGCAGATGAAACAGGGCCGGTGCCTTGGGGTGCAGGGAGGTGAGAGATGACAGGCAAGGAGAACTGTGCGGGGACAGGGGGTTCCAGGACGTGGGGGCGCTGTGAGGAGAAAGGAGAGGGCTCCAGGGACCCAGCGAAGGGAACGGAGAGAAGCCCGGGTCCCCGGACACAGGGAGATGAGGGGGTGAAGAAACAAAAACCAAACAAACAGACAAAAAGAGACAGGAACCTCCCATAAAGAAACTTTGATTTGTAAATAAGCGGGGAATGGGGACAGAAGAAGTAGGCTGCGTGATCTCTGGATTGTCCAGTGTTAGGCTGGAAAATCGGAGGTGATTTAGGAAGGAGTCCTTTGACCTTTTACCCAGTTTTAGTATTGGCAAGCCTTTAGTGAAAGCTAGCCTGAAGGGCCGAGCTGTCAGTGCGGTGGGTAGGGAAGAGAGTAGGTTAGCAGGTTGGTTTCCTTGCCGAAGAAGCTTCTCTGAGCAGTGTTAGCCTTTCACGAGCCCACCACCACCACATCCCTACGCCAGTGCCTTGTTTTTGTGGGTTGTGACAGGAATAACTTCATTTGTATCATGAATTTCACAAAGCAAATGCACATAAAAGATGAAATAAACAAAAGTCAAAACCTTGTGGAAGTTGGTTCTCACAGTCTACCATCGGATCCCAGGATCTGTTTGTCAGGTTTAGGCCCTTCTCCCCCAAATAAACCAGCACAGTGTAGTACAATAATTTGAAAAATTCAAAACTTAAGCCACGTTTAGATTCACTTTCTAGCCGTGTGGAATCCACATCTGTTTCTCTCAAGCTTATATTGTTTTGCTTGTCAACGTTTTCCCACCAAGTCTGCAAGGCAAATTAAATAAAAGTGAAGAAACTGGGGAGGAAAAGAACGTGGAAGAAAAAAAAAAGCAGTATTTCAAGACAATCCTTGCCTCTAACTAGGTTAAAAATCAAGCTAAAAAGCAGAATTTCCTTATCCAAGTAGAAAAGTCAGGCCGCTGCTTGTTAACCTCATACTCCCTTTGAGAGCGACAGACTGGCCTGTAGTGTTCGCTTTAGAAAACTGTGTGGTGGTGCGAAAGACCAGAGTACTGGAGGCAGCGAGGTGGGAAAGACCGGGAGTCCCTGGGTGCAGAGAAGCAAAGAGGGAAAATGGGGGGTCAGACGCAGGACAGAAGGGACCCCTAAAGTGAAGGTGGGAAAGGCCGGGAGTCCCGGGGTGCAGAGAAGCAAAGAGGGAAAATGGGGGGTCAGACGCAGGACGGAAGGGACCCCTAAAGTGAAGGTGGGAAAGGCTGGGAGTCCCGGGGTGCAGAGAAGCAAAGAGGGAAAATGGGGGGTCAGACGCAGGACGGAAGGGACCCCTAAAGTGAAGGTGGGAAAGGCCGGGAGTCCCAGGGTGCAGAGAAGCAAGGAGGGAGAAGGGCGGTTAGAAGCAGGTCAGAAGGGGCTGCAAAAGTGAAGGGGGGAGTAGGTGTGGTTGATTTCTTCAACTCGGGGAACCTTTTGGAAAGTGGTCTGTGCGCTGCTAGCGTTGTGTTTAAAGACAACACAGTCTTGTAAAGACCAACAGAACTCCAGCGTTTTTTTTTCCCCCCGAGAATGGATCTTTTTGTTCCCTCAGCGATGTTAGGATTGCAGCACCCGGAGTCACAGACCAGAAGCCCAGCAAGTGGGAGGCAGAATCCGGCGGGTCTCTGTGAGTTCAAGGCCAGGCTGGTTCACACAGTGAGAGACAGCTAGTGCTGCANAAAACCTGTGTCAAAACAAAACAAAACAAACCAAAGCAAGCAAGCAAACAAACAACTCCTACCCCAAGGTTCTGACTTAGTAGAGGTGCCTGTCTCCTTGACACAGAAGGCTGAAGTTTGATTCCTGTGGGAAAGGATTGACAACATCTGTGGATCGGGAGCTGCCAAGAAACATCGTGGTTTCGAGAGTAAAAATGATATATAGATATTGGCTAATGATTTTATGATATTATAAAAATGATATATAGGTGGGCCTCAATTCAATCTGATAAATAGCTTGGCCTAGAGCTG